GTTTCTACTTTGGGCTGAATTTTAAACATCGTCTTCATAAAGAGTTTGTGTTTTATTGTTCATTAGAGGAGTTCAGGTTAGAAACGGTGCCGTTATGGAGCCGTGAGTCAATCATCTGACGTTCATGTGATGTTCCTCTAACGCCTGCAGTTCACCGTCTTCATCCTTCTGTTCAGTCATTTCACCGTCTCCGTATGTAAAGTCATCAGCCGACGCTGCTGTAAGACTAAAACGAGAAGCGTTTGAGCTTTGTTCAGATATAAATAGCCTCCTCTGGCTTCCTGTTCAAAGTGTTTTTTACTCCTGTCGCTCTATTAATAGACGACGATTTCCATCCGAACGGTAACAAAGACAGTGTTGCCATGGCGACGTGTCAGGCTGAGCGAGAGCAACAGGCTCTGATTGGTCCCAGCGGTGAGGATGTTAATTTACAGCCTGTTTGGTTCCACTCGTGTTAAATCTGAGAGGGTTTCAGGACGCTGCTGAGGTCCAAAGAGATCCAGAACCAGAACCCAGTCTCCTCCTCACATGGAGGCTGGTGTCCGGAGGGTCCAGGTTCAGGTCTCTGGTTTTAATAAGGTGCAAATAAAAAGTAATAAAGAAGAAAAACTGACTTCTGCATTTTTTCTTATGTGAGCTTAAAGACGGGACCATAATCACATATAATCACATATATGTATAATATTGATCCGATTGTCTGATATTGATTCTGAATCAGGTGAAGTTCTTCTGATATGTTCATTTTAACAGCTTCAAACCTGCTGAAAGCTGCTCGCTGGACAAACAGTAAACTCGACCTCTGAAAGTGTTTCATATTTTAGGCTAACAGTTCAGAACCCTCCTGACCCATAGCTGACTCTGTGGAGCTGGTCGGGTTCTGAACATCCACCTGTGGTGAACTCTGATCTATAACCGGGTCTCTGGTCTGTAGACGTGATGTTTGACTGACTCGTGGATCAGCCAGGTGGGCGACTCACCTCTCCCCCTGCCTGCCGCCGCTCTTTGGGTTGACCAGAACCAGCAGAGGGTGAGTCCCGGGAAGAGGACTGATCTGGAACCAGAACACAGAGTCAGATTGTGTCGGCCTGCTGCAGGACGGACGGACACGGACANTTTTAACAGATATGATGTGAATTCATGTGTTTATCTTCAGTTTAACTAAAAAGCATTAAAAACACTGTCGGTGTTTCGTACAAATTAAACGTCTGCAGGACGCTTCAGCAGTGACGGAGATCAGCTCCACTTTCACCTGCTCACCAACGTCACCTGGCTTTGCTGACCAATCAGCAGGCTGCTTGTCAGGAGGGGGCGGGGCCTTAAACGGACACGGAGCAGAGGAGCTGCAGCAGATTACAGACTGATGAAAGGAACGTGTTTTTGAACATTATAATCTGTTAATATATTCTAGAAATGTGTGTCTGGTTCACGTTTCTGCCTCAAAACTCCAAGAAAGTTCAGCGTCTCTCGATTTCAGAGAGAAATCCTGAACAACATTGTAGAACAAAACACACTGAGAGTCTCCGTCCTCCACACGACAGAACATCATGTTTGTATTTACAGCTCTCTGATTATAATTAAAACATGCATCTTTAATTGGACTCACCCCACCATCGGTCCTCCTTGATCCAAACTGTACACCTGTCTGGGGTTCAGGAGGTACCGGAACTTCCTCAGAACCCTGTGAGAAGACAAAGAACAAGTTAGTACGTCATTGTTACACGTTCCAGGTAGAAGGGAGCGCTCAGGTGAAGCTGGTGGTGAAACGACAGCAGTGATCCTGCAGGTTCGTCACAGATCCATGGATAAGATCTGTACAGCTTCAGGTGTGGCAGGAAGTGTCTGAAACCAAACATCTCACTGCTGCTGCTTCATGATGCAACCTCGTTAAACGGCCAAAAGAATTCACCTCGTCTCCTTCACAGCAGTCAGCTTTCACCCACAACTGCTCAGCAGCGTAACGGATCCTTTAAGTCAGCTTTGATCAACGTACATGTTCAACCCTACGAAAGATTTCAAAGTTCTGTGATACAAAACGATGTCGACTCGACGAAGAACGTGTACAAAACGAACATCTAGAACATTTAAATTGATGCAATGAATGGCATCAAAATCCTGTCGTGTTTAAATATTTTGCTTTTTGTAGCTTCGACTCGTGCAGCTCCACATCATGATGCTCCATCTCCGTGCTTCACTGTCAGGACCATGCATCCACTGTGGTGGTCCTGGTCAGGTTCACACCAAACATCTGGACTCCATCTGAGCCCAACACATTGATCTCCATCTGACCAGAGGATGTTCTCCAGCATCCATCAGGCTTCTGTTCATGTTCT